CCTTTATGTGAAGGATGTCAAGAAAATGGAAAAGAATTTTATACTAAAGGGGAGATTAAAACCAATAAACGTTCTATAAAACGTCATAAACATAAATAAATGTTATAAAAAATTGATTTGTTTGATATTTAATCAAATATAAATAAAATAAATAAACTAAACTGTAAATCTTCATACGAAATTTATATTATAATATAAAAAATTATATATATATATGTATTATTTCCCCCCCTCCCAATTAACTATCTTATGTTATGTTAAACAAACAATTAAGTTGGTCCGGTCTTAGTTGGATATCTAATTTGGTGCGTTTAAGAATGCTAATCTTTTACTTTCTTTTATATTATTGTCATATCTATAAGTACACTGAATTGATGCCGCGTAAACGACAATGATTATTTAATTATATTTTATTGATTGAGGAGTAAATGTAGTTGCTCCCGTTCACATACAAAAATAAGTCGAATAGAACGTGTAAAAAACTTTATCATTCAATAGTTCGGCTTTTTATACTAAAATTCTATTCCAATAAAAACACTGACCGAGAGTGGCATTAGTAACAGATAATGAATATTAAAATTTATTATTACAATAAAATGTAACCGAGATTATAAAAATTATATTATTTTAAAAATTATTTTACATCAATAACTTGAATTAAGCTAAACTCCAACAATTTTCCTCATCTTTTCATCATTAAACATATTTAATCCAATTCCGAAATAAATCATTCGATTTAATAAGAATAAATTGGTAATGAAATAAATAAACATTATCGTAATAAAGAAATAAAATCTCATTAATTTTGCCCAACTTTTTAAAAATAGTGAAGAGCAATTGTTTATAACCCAATAGCGATATAATTTCAGAGCTTGCGTTATGTTCTACAAGTTTTAGTTTTGATTTGATGATGATCTTAGTTTATTTTAGTTTAAACGTTAGTTAATGCATCGCAGTTTTGTGATATGACGTTTAATCTTTTGTATTCTGTTATCTGATTTTTATTGAAAAAATGGATATCTAACTTTACCATGATGAAGCTCTGCTTATAGCAATGTATACCTGACTATTTTTTTTTTTTTAAAAGAAAAAAGTGAACAAAGATTTAAATCTAAATTTATCGCTTGAATTACAGTTACCTAAATAGTGTAAAAAAGTAATTATTTTTTTAAAATTTTCTTACAAATAGTATGGACTCAAAGCTTAGGAATCTTCCGATTATGTTAATGATCGGTTTCTCTCTTATTTCTTGTATCATCATCTCATTATTATTAAAATTGATTGATTTTAATGAATTTTTCATTATCCACCCCGCTGTAAGCAATACCAGTGGGAACCTATCCTCCGCTTACACTCTTAATAAAAACAACAGAAGATATTAAACTTGATATTTCAGTAGCTAAAGATAATGCATGTAGTCGAGCTGGGGAATACTTGATAGATTCTTATATTGATTGCAAGAGTCAGTTACTCTGGAGATGCAATAAAAACCATCAATGGTATGCTACCCTTTCTCATGTAAAAAATGATAACACGGTGTCCATATTGCTCTAAATATAAACGTGAAAGATTGTGTCGAGAGATTATGTCAAAATATCTTGGACCACCATCTAAGATACGTCGACCTGATTTCTTAAAACTTTAGATCACCCAACTGGATTAGAACTTGACATTTACTACCCACAATATGGATTGGCAAGTACAAGGAGAATATATATATAGAATTCTTTCATTAAACAGCAAGAACGGGATCAACTCAAGAAAGAATTATGCGAAGAGAATCAGATTGCCTTGAGGTATGTTTGGTATTATGAAGACCCGTATATAGTTATCCCAGGGCATCTTCGAAAATTGGGTCTCATTGAATAAACTCGAAACTTTAAATGCTCTATGATTGTTACATATATGCATTATTTTTCATAATGACCTTTGCATAGTGGATTGCATGTCATTATATTTTCTAATGTTTAACACAGCAAACTTTATTTAATAGGCATGTTTATGCAGTATATAATATTTTTTTATTATCTTTAATTCAGTACCTGTCAATTAAACATCAGTATAATCTCTTAAGCACGAAACTCACTAATTTCTGCACATACCGATTTGTAGCCATCCATAAACAGTTAGTTTCTTACGATATTCATCATTCACATGTCGTTTGTTTATGAAAAATTGATTGAGACTATCTCGTAACATTATCATTAGTTTCACTTTATCGACGTACTGCTTCTTCTTGCAGGAGGCAGGTAATCCGAAGGGACCTAGCCCTCCAGAAACTTCGCCATAAATTATTTCGAATTTATTTGGCGTTTTGACCAAAATGCCTTTCATGTCGACTTTATGTCCGATTTTTGTCCTCGAAAAAGGATCCTTTGTTTCATTTCGTGCCTTGCTTGTTGGAATAGCTTGTATTTCACCCCTAATATTTGAAAAATTGTTCATAAAAGTAAATGGAATCACTATATCATTAACATGCCTTTTGGAGTTTCGACATCTTGTCTTTCCTAAATGATTAAATAATAGTACAATATAAACACCATTAGATAAAAAAGGAAGTCTACAGGATATACTTAATTTACATACATATATTGAATATTAATATCCAGCCTTTTAACCGCCTCATTTTTATCAATATTTTCGCAATTATTGTCGAAATATTTTTGAACTTCAATAGGAATAATGACCTCAATGTTCCATCCGATTTTATTGGAGAAATCACGGGATAGTTTTTCAATATCTTCATTCTGTATTCCAGAATTTTTTAGACTCTCTTTTGTTAGATCCAGTACTCCCAATACGCAGGGCTAAATTAGCAATTAGCAAGTTAATAAAATGTGTAGAGGCAGAATGTGAACATTTTTAAATGATGCTAAATTTACGTTAAGATCTTGCGGGTTTTTGGTATTTTTTCTTGATATTTTCTAAAAGATTCAATCAAATTTGTATCGAGGAATTCCTGTAGATAATAAAATAATAAATTTATCAAACACATGTATAAAACACTTATAAAAAGATCTACCTCTGTAGTTCTATCGTTAATATCTGGTAATCGAATCTCATCCATTAATAAATTCTCATCAATCTTTTCGATTATTGATCCCTCGTTCGATTCGTTGAATAGTAATATGGCATTTTCTAACAATTCTTCATCAACGTTATCTTCATTTAATTTTCTTTTTAATATGTTTGATGTATTTCCAACATTACAGTCATCCTTTTAAGTTATATCGTATGAAATTAATCAGATAATCCACACTAATAGAGTACAGAACTAGACTGAGAATGATACCTTGATGTTTTCTGGTAGTATACTCTGTTCTAAAGTTATAGAGTATTCATCATGCACAGTCATTTCTGATGAGTTTTCGGAAATTTCGGACGGGCGGTCAATAACATGTGGCTCTTCATCCGTATCCTTTAACTTCTCTCGTATGCCCAGTCTTTTATCGATTCCTTTATCGTTTTCTTGTTGCATTCTAGCAACGTCAGCGAGATATTTTTTTTTAACTTGTTGAAGTAACATGAAATCATGTTCCTCAATAGCGCGATGTTTTTCACGTTCTATTATCAAGTTCCAAAATGACGCGACTTCTTTGGACTGGCACAAAGTTTTAACAACATATTATCTACTCGAACTTTACAAAAGCAAATTAGGAAAATTATTACTTATAGATAGATCTTTCTTCAACTTTCTCGCATGATCTCGAGCGAATTGTGGTAGATCTTGGCTCTAACTCAACGAATCTAGGTGTTTTACACATTGTCTGTGGACCTGCTCTCGCTCGGCACTCGTTAGAGTCTGTTCCGAATCAAGCCGATTCAGAAAATCGATAATCTTACACGTTACGAATGGGACTGACGAAAAGTATTTATGCATTCCCTTAGGTAAAAGGGAAGTGAGAACTAGAACGGTGACAGTATAGTGATGATTATCTTCTTCCAGCAAATGGAGTAATCACCACAACAGCAAATACTTACTTCCTTTGGCTCCATATTTCTTTTTTTATTCGTGATTTCTTAACAATTAATGATTTCTCGATAATGTGCTTGGATTTTTACGCGACGCAAATGAGAAGTAATAGATTTTCAGACGTGTAACAATGTGATCACCTCCAATCAGAAATAATTGATCGTTATGCTAGGAAAAATTTCACCTTTCTTGGGAGCATGGAATCTGCTGTTACAACATTCACGAGCTACCGTTTCCACTTGGTGACGCCCTCGTGCGTGCAACTCTTCTCCTCTTGGTGAAGCTGGTTGGTGACGCTCTTTCTTTGGGAGTGTGGATTTGGTTGTTTACAACACCCATGAGCTACCGTTTCCATTTGGTGACGCCCTTATGTGTGCAACCATTCTCCTCTTGGTGAAGCCGGTTGGTGACGCCAATCACCCCTCCACAACTCCAACTTCCCATACTTTAACACTTATCTCAGAACATTGGAAGTATGGTAAAATTAACTATTCTTTTTCGATAATTATATTAGGCAACAATAGAATAGAATATATCGATGTTTAAATGTGGTAGCTCTCCTCAAGATGTTTCCAAGATAGCCAGTCGTTATACTGATGATGTAAAAAATGCATCTATGGTCATTAATAGCTACCTTCGAAAGGTGAATTTATTTTATTGTATTTGATCTCACCAGGCCAGAAGATGATTCTCTTGCAATTCGGCTAAGGTTTGACACTCCATTGAACCTGCAGAAGGAAATAGAGGCGAGGCAGAAGCGCAGAGAAAAAAATCTCCAAGCAGATTGTATTAAAAATTCTCGATAATGCAGTTAATAGCATACACCACATACCACACTGTATACAGCATTTACTAGTTATAAGATAAAACCCGATGTAGGCAACTTCGGGTCCTAAAGGGATCGCGTAGTATATTTTAATTGTTTATGGCCTTAAAACTGTGAAGAGTTATTACGTCGCGGTATACTAAAGCGTGGTTTAAGTACTGTATGGCTTGATGATCTCATGGAAGAATGGGAAAAAATCTTTACACAATTCACACAAATTTTTTAACTAGACACAATTATATAAATGTAACAATACATAAATCATTTTTCCGCGATCTATGGGTTTGCTTCAATGTCATATGCATACATAAAATTAATACAGTCGTCCCCCTTTATCGTCACACCCCTCGGGACTAAAAATAAAAAGTGTGATTATAATAAAAAGTTACTATACAGGGGATTTTTACATGATGTTACTAAGTGTTGGTTCTGAAAGGGTGTGACTATAAAAACACTGTTATTATAATGGGGGTTTTTATATAACATTAGTAGGTATTGGTTCTTACGAAATGTGTGCTTATAATGAGGGATTTATATGATGTGATTGTACAGGGTGACTATAGAGAGGGACGACTGTATGTAGGAGAAAAAATTTGGTTCATTTTTATGCATTTTATCAAAAGTTATGATCGATAGAATTACATCAATTTTGTATCGAAAATCACGTGGTCCAATACTTTTGACTGGGGAGTGTATATAGGTGATTATAATTCCAATTATATCCATCGGCATCTTCAATTAATTATTTGCAAATTCTTTAGATAAATGTTCATTAGTTAAATTTTTATAACTAATATAAATGTGACTCTTGATTATTTGTTGTATTTTCTAAAAGATTTGTAATTACTTCGATTAAAAAATCAATATCAATAACTTCCAAAATATTAGATTGATCGTTATTAATTTCTACAGATTTTTTTCTTTTTTTGGGTAGATCTTTGACGGCAATTATTACATGATTTAAGCTGTTTGGAAACACCACTAATTTCATACTTCATAAACTCAGATAATGTTTTAAAAGTTTTGCAGCTATGACAACAATATTTTTCAAAGAGGGTTCCATTATAACGATAAAAAAAAATAATACAAAACTTTGAAAATTGAATGTAAAAAGAAGTTATTTATTATTTAATCAGTTCGCGTCGTATATAGTAATCAACAAACTATATGCTTTATTACTTATTTAGTCTGGTCACGATCTATTTACTACGCCACCCAAATCACGTGTCCGGACTTTTTCTGATGGTGTTACTGGAGAAGATAGAAAAGAGCACAAATATCACGTGCTGTGAGTTTATTAATCAAAAATTATATTGTTAATTCTGGAATTGCAAACTGGTTTTCGTGGAACGCATAATAATCAAAGAATTATAATAATGATTCAAGGAAATATTTCGCTCAAGAGACATTTAAAGAATTATCAACAAAATTTAATGCGCAATTGACTCAGAACAAACTTTAGAGTTATGAATTATTACAGCTTAATAATTTACATAATAAAATCAACGGCTTCTAATTTTGAATAACCTACTGAAAAGTTGCTCTCGTAACCTTTAGTTAGGCTCATGAACTTGAGCCATTATAGCATATGATTAAGAACAAAAATTTTCAAATCCTAGAATTATATACTTGTCTTACTTTAGTTGCTGCTCCTTTTTTCTTTAATCAATTATTACATAAACAAACTTTACGGAACTTCTTGGAAGATTAAGAAGAATGCCTTTGAAACCATCTTGTGAACTTCAACATTCTCGTTGCTATCGCTTCTTAGTATCATTATTCCTCAAGACGTATCCATCAACTAAACACAATTTTTCCAATTAACGTTAATACAATTCAAAATAACTGTAATCAAAATGCTTTAAAAAATGTTATTATAATTCCTCCATTGTCGATATGGATTTAATTTTGAATTTTATTTATATTTTAACGTGTGGCAAAAAATTTTTTTTAAAAAAAGTTTTTTTATAGCTTAAAGATAAAATTTTAGGTTAGGTTATTAATTTACGATAGAACCTTAAAAAGGATCGTTAGTCACATTTAAGATCTTTTTTTTTTTTTTTTCAAAATTCAGATACATTGTCGATTGTATTAAATTTGAACCAAGCATTTAAGATTTTAGTACGGTAAGAATCAGTAATGAATAATTAGGAGAAATGAAATAGGTATAAATTATAAATAAAATTTTATTGAGAATAAATTTTATCAAAAAATACAATGTTCAACCCATTAATTTCTTTTGACATGCTGTATATAAAATCAAAACCACAAAATCACCATAAAGTATGATTAATATTAGTTACTATTCTAGTAATAACTTGTAATATTAATACATTTATCAATATCTGCCTTCCAAAAGTGCGTCCAAACACGCCACCAAGTCGGTTGTATCGTAACGCGTCTCTTTTGGCATCCCAACGAGTTTCAAAATACCATCTACAATAATAAAAAATCGGAATGGCCACGGTGCATACAACTTCAAGAAAGTATCATTCATTGTGTCTGACATCACTGGAACCTCCAGCTGAGTTGCTCTAACCATTTCACTCGCAGCGATCAAACGATCAGATAACGTGCGATGCTCTTTGACGGATACAATATCGTCGATAGGCCATACATCACTTGCATGCGCTTCTCTAATCTGGATCATGTAGAAATCTACATAGTTTTGATATCGCCTAAACATATCATTAAGCACGTGGGATATGTATCGGAATAAAGGACAAGTATACGATCCTCCGAGAAGAACGAGAGGTCGTCCTGGTCGACAAAGTGAGCGCAAAGAAATTGGATTCGGCGGATTATTGCAATTTTCATTTGTTGTAAACGTTGAAGGATCTAAGGGAACCAGTAGGCAATCAGGTGCCGTCATTCCTTCAGTAAGGACTCCAATATGAGCAATGTTATTGCGAACAAATAATTGAGTGGTATGAAATGCAGGCTCGTCTGAAGATAATTAAAAAAAAACATCGGTTTCAGCATAATAATGGTAAGGAAACCAAAAAAGTTTGTTAATAACAATAAAAGATGGATACGCTCATCACCTGGATAAAGCTGCGGTGCACTGCGCATTATTTGTACAACTTCAGTTACTTCCTTGTCACATGTTGATTCATTTCCAACATTAAAATATTTTTTTTGCGTTTCAGGTGACAACCTTCGTCTCTCCTCCTCACGTAGAAGGGCCAAAAACTCATCTTTAGTACTTGGAAGTTTTGGAGAGATGGTTACAGATGTGTCCCTAGTTTGTTCAGGTTGTTGCATGTTTTTGGTGATTTGCGGCAATGGATCAAATCCGTCGCGGCCACTGGTTTCTTGGAACTTCCCGCCACGCAGACGACATTCAAGACGCATCGTGGATTCTTTTTGTATATTGTAACATGACAAAGTCAGATCATCTTCCAATTGTTTGCCAGCAAAAATCAAACGTTGCTGATCAGGGGGAATTCCTTCTTTATCTTGGATTTTTGCTTTAATTTGGTCGATGGTGTCAGTGCTGCATGCTTCTAACGTAAAGGTTCTTCCAATCCAGGTTTTCACAAATAATTGCATTAGGATTTTTGAAATTTCGAATATTTTGTGATTTACTCCAAAAAAAAAGAAGAAAATTAAAAAAAAACTCTAGAACTTATACTTGAACACTACACTTTATAAGTGGATGATTATTTGTGGCATAATGTTGTCTTTCTCTATTTACCTTTATATAAAGAGATTTATTTTCACAAATTGTTTTGTGTAACTTATGTGAACTCATTATCAACTTGGTCTGATTATTCAACTTGGAATATGCCATTTGATTTTTTTTTTTTGAATGATATTTCCTTTTCTATGAGTTCTATGAGTTCGTTTGGAAAATTTCTTTTAAAACCAAAAAAACTAACCAAAGATGAAGATGATCCGATCCGATTTTGTACGGCTGAGAAAACTAAAGTATTGTTTATCATTAAAAATTCTTAAAGTTTCACAAAGAATTTATCATTTAAAAAGGTAAAATGGCGGGAAAATTTTGAATTAATCAGTTGTAAAAATTTTTTAAAAAAATTACACATGATGAAAATTTTTCTAAAATTATAATACCAAGTGAAATTTATGTAAAAAAAGAATAAGGTCGAACTGTAAAATCACGATTGTGATAAATTTTACTTGTTCTAATTCTTTGAGGGGATTAAAAGACGAGATTTTTAATTTATTATTATGATAAACGCTTCAATATTTCATGATAGGAACATCATCTCTCTTAGATATGAAAAGAATATCTGAAGAACCAAACTTTCTTCTATATATATTCGGTCTATCTTCGGATTTATTTTAAGATACACTATTAATTGCTAAATCTACAATAATAAGTAGAAATCAACTATCGAATATCTATAAATTAGAAATATCGAAACATCGCTTTTATCCTCCTTGTCTTCTTCGAAAGTTGTAACCTCATAATAATTTTGCCATTAAAAAAAGATCTAATAATTAAAATTTAATCCTGTTCAATCATCATAAAGTTAAGACACTGTATAATATTTATCTTGCTTTATTTATAAATAAATACATGTATTAGTAAAGATGAGTATACTGAGAGTTTTTGAAATTTATTATTAAATAAAGTAATTTATACATACCTGTTGTTTCGAGATTTTTTTTTTTTTTTTTTTTTTTTATAAGATCTAATATTATATAATATAAAATTCACTTTTTTTATTATTATTTATTTGTTATCCTATTATCAGAAATAGAAATAGAGAAAAGATAGGTTTAAAAAAATATTATATTCAGTATCAAATGCTTATTTTTAAGAAAATTTTTGACCACTTAATAGGATTATTTCCATCTGATTACATAGAAAAATTGATTTTGGATAATTAAGCAATTCTTGAGGTAATTCTGCACCACAAACAACCGATAAGAACTTCTAAGCACAATTCAGCAAAAGAATAACCATGTCCTTATCTCGAATTTCTCAATAGTTTTTCAGATATTCATTATCATATCTAAAATGGCGATGCAATATTCCTCATCTTGATGTAAAGTTCATTTCTGGAGCGTCATCTACGTGTTCATTAGGCTATGTTGTTATAATCTTTAAGGAAATAAAAGTATTAAATTTATTGGGAACTCTTTTAAATGATTTGTTCTCCCTTTGCAATTCATTTATGCGGTCATCGAGCTTTGTGGCTTCCTCATCAAGTTTTTCACATTACCTCGGCAAGGACGTACTTTGCTAGTGACTCTAAATACTTTCTTTAAATAATGCTTTTCCACTGTTCAAGACCTCGTCAAGTCGGAAACAACATTCGATATAAAACCATAGCTTAAAAGTGTTTCTAGTGTTTTTGTTAGAATCAATAACGTCACGTCTTAAAGATCCCACAATTTTAAAATATAGGTACCAGATTTATATTCCTCAGAAAGTACATTTAATAAATTGCAGCTTTTAACGCACTATTAATTAATTAATGAGTTTTCTGGAATTTCTGGCGCTTCCATCAGTCTGACGACAATTTTTCATAAATTTGAACCGGCATATTAACTCAAACCAAAGGTAGTTCCAACTACCAACCCAGTTGGACCATTGACTATGCCAAACTCAGTAAAATCTACAACTCCATGTATCAGAATTTAAATTAATTGTTGATAAAATGATTTTTGGAAATGAACTCACTTGATCCACTGTTTTACCAGTCATCAGAATTAATTTTGAACTTCTAACTTTATCACAAAATTTTTGCTTCGTTCTAATCATGTGTCATGACCTCATGAGAATGCTTTAATTGTAACCTAATTGCTATAACTGAACCTATTCGAGGCATACAGTATAAGCATAATGCGATATTTCCTCGTAATTATTACTTGTTCTTTTAGATGTTTAAACAGAAATTTGTATACTTCACGTTAACACGCTCCAGTTCCTCGGAAGACAACCAATGAAATCATCTTTTCTAACAAGTTTCATTTACAATCGCAATTTTCCAAAGATCGTTTGTACTTTCGTTATGAGAAGTCCAGCTTTCGTTTCTTAAGATTTCCTCATATTTAGTCAACCTTAATCTCTGTAATATATCTAAATAACTTAACACCTAGGTTTTAATCTTCATCTTGAGTGATAAATCTATCTTTAAAATCTTACAATGTCCATGATCCAGTTAGAGATTTAAAAATTTTCAATAGATCAATTTATAATGCTCGTTTAAGTTTTAACGTGCAGAATTTCTGATTTTTTGACAAATTTATTTTTCGACACGTCACTTCAAAAATACTTTTAATTCCTATTTTTTTTTTTATTGACAGAAGTCAAATTGTAATATCAGTCATAAACGATTGTGTATTTTTATTTTTATTAAGTTTTTAATTATACTATCTAATTAGGTCATTAATATGAAATCCTTTTTCAAGCACGTAATTCTCAAGAGAAAGGTATCATAAAAAAATATAATTTCTTGATAAGTATTTTTATTGAGTTGCCATCATCATGATATTCATTTGCTAGTTTTTGTTACATATACTTCTTCTATATTAGATAATTTGAGCTAGAAGAGGTGATTGATGAGTAAAGACGAGATTAATATTAGTAAGAGGAGAAGAAAAAAAGCTTTTTTCTGTTTATTGGACCATAAATGTCTAATTTCACGTCAAAATTCCAATGTTCTTAATAATAAATTTCATATTTTCATTTTGTCAACCCTTGGCAAAACTTGACGACTGTTTATGATTATATTGTTACGTCTTCTCTTTTTCCTATCTTTTTTATGAATAAGTTTGTCTTAAATTTTAAACATTTAACAGTTCATCTGTTCAGTCGACAAATCTGGTGTTAACAAGTAAATAACTAATGAATTCATACATAGAGTAAGCAGTTTGAACAAAACTTATCTTTTTTTAAAAATAAATATCGTATGAAGCTTATACCAGGTATAATTTCACAATATCGGTTGACTTTCATTACATTCATTTCTTATATTGGCAATTTGGACTCTAGTACTATTGATGACATCTCCCAAGTTAGAGCGGCAAGCATTAATGGTAACCTGTAGTAGATTATTATGTGTAATAGCTATAACAGCTGTAATAACTGGATTGTAGCGATGATTCGTCAGACAAATGATATCAGAAAGATCACTTTTCTATTATTTTCTGCTGATGATGTAGATTAAAGTTAGAGTTAGAAGGTGTGTCACGCACAAAGGTAAATAACATTGTGTTGAAATCAGAAGGCCAACTTATGACTTTGAGTGTTAACTTTTATATGGGGATTGTTGATGTTAATATGAGGAGTGTTAAAGTGAGGTGATGTGTTAATGTTAATGTGAGGAGGTTTGTTAATGTGGTGATAAGTGTTAATGTAAGGAGAGTGTTAATGTTAAAATGAGGAGTTGTGTTAATGTTAATGTGAGTAGGTAAGTTAGAACATCATATGTTGACTTAAAGAATTTACATACTTTTTATTAAGTATCAGGTGTATAATCAAAAATACGTTGTAAGTTAGGTAAGTCAGGTATGCAATCAACTGAATATATTTTTGCCAATTCTGATAAGAGTATATTTGGTGTATTTAAAATTGAATGGATATGCAAAACATTATCCAGTTTATATATTCCTTGCTAAAGATTGTGCAATATTGAGAAGTTCTGAATTAGGTGTCACATAAAGAATCCATGAGTTCTTCGATTCCTTTTTAATACAAGCAGCAATAGATTTTCTTTAAGTTGTTAATGTATAAGTCGCTTATATTTGTTCAACATTTCTAACTTCAGCTTCTTAAGCCACTCTTTGTCTTTTATTTTTTTTAATCATGATACAATAAGCGTGCTCTTTTCATGATCATTTTTAATATCGTTCGAGAATTCTCAGTTTCTTAATCAATCCCTGTTGGTCTTGCAGTTTCTTGTCTATTTATATATGCATCTTTACGTAAATTAAATACTTATGAGTCTAAATAACGGGAAACGATAGATTTTATCAATATGCTGGAACGAGAAAAACAAACAATTGCAGTTTAAAAGTTGTCTATTTATGTCTGTTATGTTTTTTGATTGGTTTTAGAATATGATCATGAAGTAAAATGAATGATCAACGCAATTTTTTCGTTGCGTTTTTATTTTTAATAAGATGTTGACCAAACGTGAGCAATGGGTTTAATCCGTTATTTTCTCGGCTTTTGTAATTAATGTGGAAGATTTGTATTAAAAGTTTTTTATTAAGAAAAAAATCTTTGGAATTAGTTTAAATAATATAGTTTTTCAATTATAGAAACATGAAACTCCGTGAAGAATTAAGTGATAATCAACTCTTACATTCCCATTCAAATTATTTCATAATTTTCTTTAATATCCATTTATTCAAAGGTTTGCCTTCACTTACGTCAATCTGGTTATTAGCAAAATATAGAGAAAAACAAATTTTTTTAACTAAAATGAAAATTTGGATAAAATTTTTATTCTTTATTTAAAAATTTTTAAAAATTTAAATAATTATTAATTAAAAACAGAAGAAAAAAACTACAAATGAAATATCAAAATGTTAAAAAAAAATAAATGAATTCATTCTAATTTCCAGTTGGTGCGTCAAATGTATTTGTCCTATTATAAAGTTAAATATTAGAATATATTAATTTTATTTGAAAATAAAATATTTTTTGGATTTTTACCTTGATCTTCGAGCTAACATATGCATATGCCGCATAAATATGACATATTAATAATGATTCCGGAAAATTTTCTAATAATTCATCCGAAATTTCGGAAGGCCATAAATTAAGTCCTTCATCTTTTATATAAAAGCTTAATGGGACTTGATCCTTATCAAAATTCTTTAAAAATCTTAACATAAATCTTTTCAATGCAAGAACAAATATTTCTGCTGGTATACGTTTGTTAGTCGTTAGAGAACGTTCAAATTCAACAGCCGAATCAATTTCATCCTTCACTTCTTTGGTGAGTTCAATTTTAAATTTGTCATCAATATATTTTACCACGGAATTTGCAACTTGTTCTTCGATCAATTCATACAGATCTATTAAATGTTTGAGACATAATCCGATTTTTAATAAATTGTTGAATGATTTATTTTTTGTTAACACAGATAATTTCATCCATTGATTAACATAATCATTAATTTTTATCTCTTCGCTTCCAATAGATGTACGTTTTACGAAACAAAGCAAAATTTCTAATGAAGAAAGAAGTTCAGATGCGCTATCATAAGATAATGAATAATTATTATGATATTCCCTGTATGAAGCGCCAGATGGTACCACGCCCATAATCAGAGAAATCTTATCAGATGGAATTTTTTGTTGATGAATCGAAGATTTGATATCACCGAGAATTCTCATGTATCCTTGGAATAATTCCATGTGATATGGGAAAGATTCCATATATGCTTGTGAACCATTCAAAGTGCTTATATGGACTTTTCCAAAAACTAATTTACGCGTAAGCTCCATTTCAATCGTTTGTAAATCATAAATGATATCCTGACCACGTCCAACTTCAAGATTACGATCACTATTTTGGAGAATATCACCATCCCATTTGTAATTTATAAAGTTGTTTTGTTTTGTTTGATCAATCTTAAGGGATTGAAGATAGTAACGAGCAGGACTTTCCGCAGATTTAGCATTCTGTGTTTTTGAAGATGATGAAACGGTGTTTTCCTGAATAAAATAAGGCTCTTCCATGAATTTAAGTGCTTTAGTAGATCCTATAGGAATCGTTAATACTTCTTGTAAGAAATTATTTTGCAATTCAATCAAATATTCCAAAATAGCGCAAAGATATACGCCTGAATCTTTTGGCTCGACTAAAGCAAGTGCAATGGGTGATGACAAATTTATCTTCGGCTTTGGTTTCTGAAGCTCGTGACATTGGAATTGGTCCACATCATCAATAACCGAATTCCATGCATTAGCAAATTCATTAAAATTTGAAGTTAAGAATTTTAATCTTTCTTCAGATTTTTCATCATTAGACTCTTCATTTATAAATTGCCTAAATGTTTGTTCTTGCGCTTCTTCTCGACTCACGCGATACTCAAGATGCGATGATATTATTTGAACAAAATTCACTATCGGCCAAAGGTGTTTTACCTTTTCTAAATTATCAAAATACTTGAAGAAAATTGAAATAAAAGGAAAATTCGCTTCATGCTTCTCTAAATCCGAATTGTAATAAGCACGAAAACCTCGAAAACTCATTATTCCTATTGACCTCCAAAGCCTTGGTAAACGTTCACGAATGTATCTCTCATCCATTGGTAGTGTTTGATTAATTTCTTCAACGATTATGCTTGAATTTCCTTGAAGTTTGGTAAGTTTTGCACGAAATTCAGTAGCCGTGTTTCTAATATTTTTAATTAAAGGCAAAATATAGTCCTGAGCGAAATTTGTTTCCCATTCTTCACGTTCTTGAGGTGTCTTCAAGGTTGTATTTTTAGGTGGAGTTTGAAACATTCTATCAAGGATTGCGTGTAACAAGAAGGCTAGATTTTCTTCAGAGCAATCCAAAAGGTTTAAAAGGATTCCCCAATCATTCCTAATGTGTTTCATACAATATTCCACACTATCGTTTGCAACTTTATTGTTTTTTTGTAAAAAGGTAGTTGCAGTATCAGAAGGTGCCCAAGCGCCAATTATTGAATGAACAAACAAATGAAGAACTCTATATGAAGTAGGAGTTAATTTGCGGAGATTGTGATAAATGTCCCCATTCACTTCTTCCCCAATATAACCCTTTTCGTCCTTTGAACTTAAGGCTTGTTCAATTGGAATTTTATCTAATTTCGCATTTCCTTCGTCGGAAATATGCCTTTCTCCACCAATAGAATTGTTACATTCTGGGCATTTACCTCGCACATCGGCTTTTCCACAATTACCGATAAGATAAAGATAACCACATTTACATTGATACCTATTAAAAAGATAATGTTAAACTGTTCAATTTTTTTTTGAAAATACAAAAACTTTAAAAATTCTTACCGCGTAAATTTACCACTCTGCTGTAAGACAGCACTTAATATAATAGATTCTACATCTGATGGACAAGTGGGAATGTGCAAACCACTGGAACCACTCAAATTATGTAACAAAAATGATAATGGTGACGCCTCCGCGGGAATAGACGAATGCAATGCTATAACGTGCCCGATGACCGATTTAATTAATAAATCCGAGCTACTAACATTCGTATCAAGTTGCAATACAGAATTTTGGTTTGTGATTACGTTGTTAATAACCTTCTTGTAAATGTTGGATAAAGGGCTTATTTTCCCGATTTTTTCTTTCAATAATTTAGATGCTTGATTCTCCTCACGTTTCCACTCTCTTGTTGCTCTAATAACATGAAGTCGATTAAGGATACCTCCCATAAGTGAAATTCTAGCGCTTGTCTCTTCTTTCTTTGAAATTTTATTAAGGAATTCATCCAATTGTTCTATACTATTTTTGTATAAAAGTTTTGTGAAACAATTTTCCACGGCATTATAATCATTAAAGGAATAGTAAACATTAAATTGTAATCGATTAATATCCCAAGGTAAATTTTCCAACCATGGTAACTTATATTTTTGAGCAAGACAAAATTTTTGGACATCATCCATGGAATATTCTCTATTACGTAGATCTCGTAGAAAATAAAATTTTAATGACTCAACTAAACTATAAGATAAACTCATATCACAATTAATTTGATTGATTAATTCATCAAAACCTCTGAAATCCAATTCAATCGGTCTTAAGATTTTATCCTGAATCAAGGTATTCCAAAATTTGTTAACAAATTCTTTGAGAAGTGCAATCGCTGTTATTTTACATAAACTCTCAACATTATTAGTACCTAAAACTTCAATTGCGCGATGGAAATAAGGTGATAATTCGATCAGATCATATTGTGCAAAGTATGTTTTCTGTATTACATCACAGAACAGTGCTGCTATTGAAGAATGACAACCTTTATCTTCAAGGCAAATATTGATAATTGCAAATAGTGGTGAATCTAGCATCTTTCTAGGATTATCTAGCCAAATAAAGAATTCGAGAGGCTCATTTTTGTTTTCTGTCTCAAATATACTTTTAATGATTTGTCCCATAAGAGGGAAGGGATTTTCCAAGAATAAAGTGTGATAAAGTTCCAACCGATAAGGTGAACCGAAAGGAATAATTTCTAAGCACTTCATTACGAACGATTGCTTTGCACATAATAACTTATTTGGTGCGATGTTTTTAATGTTGCTAAGAATTTCAAAAACTCTGTGAATATACATTTTCGTGAATATTTCTTCATCACC